AACTATATCTCAATTGAAGGAAATGAGTTAGCAAATAAACTAATTAAGGAAACAACCACAATACAATTCATTTCAAACAAAATAAGCTTTGGACTATTAGATATGATTATTAAGGAATATACTTCAGATCAATAGCTTGATATTCTCAATCAATACAAACTCAGATCAAATCAATCCTTATTAACTTACTCGAAATTATTTCCTTGAAAAATAAACTTGAAAATCAAGTTATTAAGTGGAATCAATCGAAATACTATTAATATATTCTTTCAACTTAAATTAGATTATAGATATATCAAATCCTATTTATATTACTTTAAACTTTCTAATAACAAATATATATATAATAATATCGAGATACTATAATACCTCTTTATTAACTGCTTTATATATAAAGCTGAAAGAAAAGAAATCTTTAAGGAGATACTTTTATTCAAAATCACTATATAATTCCTATTTCATATCAAAATTGGTATCAAGTTAGCCATCAAATTCATCAATATCATTAAAATAGCTACAAGGGCATAGTATCTGGCTAAAGCTCTAATACAAAATGAAACAAAAGAAAGAGAGATAGTAGAAGAAGAAGAAGATATAATAATAAAGGGAGAAAAAATTATTATAAAAATAAAAGGAATAATAATTGAAGAAAAAGAAAAAGAAGGGAGGAGTTTCTTACTAATTTCTTGAGTATTATATTTCCCTTTTCTTATTATATGCAATGCGTATAATAAGCGAGCACTGATCCCCAATATTTGTTTTCACTTCCCTAAATCGAATATATCTATTTTTGTAAAATAAAAAGTTATTTGCTAGAGCCTCTAGAGGCCTAGCTGTCCTATATAGTCTTAGACTGAACGTGGACGTAAATGAAATCAATCAATCAATCAATTGAACTCAAAATCCTTATTGGGTAAAGAGAATTTGAATCTGCCAGGCGATTTGCTATAGATTTGATAATAGTGATAAAACTTGGTAAACTGTTTAATCACTTTAAAATCTTTATCATACCCGGAGTGTTTAAATATTTTATAAAATTTGCGTGTAAATAAATAACTAAACCAATAATGAATTTATTGTAATTTGATTTCGATAAGATAGTAATCATTATTACCAATAAAATGGTTAATCAATCCCTTAATATTGATATTTTATAGCAAAAATACATGACCGAATTATTGATATATAGGATAGATGCTTTTAGGTGTAATAACAACATTATTAAGGTTATTATACTTGAACCTAAGTCTATCTATATCAACTAAAGAAAACAAGAATGGAAGATCGGCTTCTATTATGTTCTATTCTACTTCTCTAAATGAAAGCTTGATATAAAACAAACCAATGGAAGTTATCACTTCAATGCTGTATTGAATTATCATTTATCTAGCGGTAGTTTTATTATACTCAACATTCTCAATCTTCTTTTATACCAAATACTGGTTGTATCCGATAGATAATCTCTTAATCATACTTGTATTGATTATAATACCAAAGAATATATTAGTATTATATCATTTGCTACTTACAGTGAATGTTTTAGCTATCAATTTATAAATACTTATAATATTATTGAAATCAATTGCTATTAAAGAACCATCATAAATACTTATTAAAATAAAGAATGTTCTGGAGATCCCTTTAGAACTACTTGTATTAATAAGATACTGATTAATGAGATAATCATTATCATTATTATTATCATTATTTCAATCATTTTTTTATCCAATATCAGTAACAAACTAATCATATCGTTTCATAAAGCTCTTATCATCGAGATTGCTGTACTTAATACAGTAATTCGTCTTAAATCGATCTTTCTCTTTTTGTATATACTTATAGTATCTACAGCCCTTCTTCTTGTAATCAGGGAAGTAATAATTATCCTTACTCTTATTAGTTGGTGTAGAGAAGGATTATTGATCACTATATTTATTATAAGGTTTCCAAAAGAAAAAACTCAAAAATGCATTATTATAGAAATATCGATTTGTAAGGAATATCTCAGGTAGAGGATATGATTTTGGAAATACCTTTTGATAAAAATCGATAGTTTGTTTAATCTGATTAATAAGCTTTACAACAATTAAATAAGGATTGTATATCACAGAGTGGCATTCCGGAATACTATTATATACAAATAAAATCTTAATGTAGTACAATTGAGGATCACGTATTATCCTGAAAATAGTATACTAAAGGAAACGTAAATCTGTGATTATTATATTAAATACTTCCTAAGGCTCTATGAATGGGTTTTTCTCAATATAATTCTTGAAAGTGATGTTATTCCACTTGAGAAATATATTCCATTAATGTTCAGGTCCTTTGAAATTGTTGATCATTATGTTGTATAAGCTTTGATACAAATCAAAAAAACTGCTAAAATTTGTTTGATAGTAATCTTTAGCTGTATTTGCAAGTATAATCGGAAAGGCTGTTATAGTTATTTTTATTGGTACAAATACTCTGCGATAATGCTCCCTGAATATAGAGATCTTCAAATCAAAAGAGTTATTGATATTCTTATATCTATTATTATCCCTATAGATTTTCGAAAGATCAATAAGATAATGGTTCTGATTATATTAATCATCATCTTTGCAATTAAAATAATCAGAATGATTTCTATTCCTATTATCTCTATTTTTGTCTCTACTGTTATTATTGTTGTCTCTACTATTATTACTATTTCAACCACCGCCCTAATTATTATTATTATCCAAATCATCATTATCACTAGATAATTCTACAAAAGTATTAATTAATAAAATTCTAAAATCTAATTCTGATATTGATAAAAATACACATAGGATTTATATATTTTCAGATTAAAATGAAACTGATTCTTTATATATATTAAGAGGAATAATCGAATTACTTATAATTTTACTGGGTTTTGGTAAAGTTAGATAATCAGCTAAAGTACTATTCTGAGGTTCAACAAAAGGTTTAGCTTGTAGTCTCAAACCGAGTCCGACAGGAAAATAGGTCCATTTCGTAGATACAAATGGTTATATCTCATTAATCTAGTATTCCAGAAGCTGATCCATAATTCAATCGTGATATTCTTTATAGAGAAATACTTTTATTAAAGTATTATTAAGATTTGCATTTATATTAATATAAACTCTATAATGTTGTAAGACCTTGCAAAAGTTATATAATATCAACTTATCAATGCTTCTGAATAGGACTTATCGAATAAATTCGAAATCGAATATGATTATATTCTGAAAAGATACATCAATAATCCTTATATTCAAGTATGTAGTTATTTGAAAAAGAAAATATTCGTCAATCTGATATTCTATTTTTATTTTGAATGTATATCCTTTATAGAACTATTTAGCTTTATTGAAATCTTTGGAAAGGAATAATTCTGAGATTCTCCTTTGAATTCAAATCTTTAATAGTTTTCTAAGTTTTTCTTTTTTTAGCTATTATTTTATCAGAAATATAGGGATTGAAAGAAGCAGGAGGATGAGGAGGAGCACTGATTATATCTTTGTAAAGAGAAATCTTGAACTCCTATTGCAAAGGATCGGTGTTGTCAGTTGTTGTATCGATAAATCCTTTTATGCCAATGAATTGATCAAATAGAATAAGTTTCTTACCAGCATCGGGTTTCTTACCAGTTTGCTTAGAGCTAATGCTAGTGTTTCCCCGGGATGTCATAATATTGATAACGGGAAATAAAAGAAATAAAAGTGAAAAGGTATTTCGAATAAGTAAGTTAAGTAATTTGTGATATCACTAATTAGTGTTGGTTTAATAATGAAATCAGGAATATGGGAGATATAATTCCCACTATCATTAGTAGGCCTCTAAATGTCTGTATTGTATTCTGTCTAAAGAGCTAGCTAATAAGAGGAAATAGTAGGCCTTATATAGGCACTACTGAAAGAGCTAGTCTCCTTCGCATTCGCCTAAATACCTTTGATACAGTAGCCATTGTATTGAAGTCATTCTTTTGAAGTGAATTCCCTTGTTCACACACTTTGTATACTTTCTATTACTCTCTTCATTATTTGTAAATATCCAATTCAGTATATCCACAGATCATATATATTGTTAAATTATAAAAACTCTGCACACTAATATCCCAAAGGTATTCTATCGATTTTCGTTTATTAAATTAAGGATATCAGCCTTGTTTTTAATACAAGCTTTAATTAAACTCAGCTATATTATAAAAGCTTTATTATCTATTGTTTTAAAAACTAATTCCATTTTGCAAATACTTTATTGTAATATACTTTGACTCTGCTCCCCATACAGATTTGTAAAGGTATAATTCCGCATCAATCCCATTCTCATCTCCCTTCCACTATCAAATAATTTTCATCTCCGTTTTATTAGTAATCCTCTATTCCGAATATCTTCACAATTATCCTTTGATAATCAATTACATATACCTTTGCTTTCAATACAGCCTTCGATTAGTATACAACCATCACCCGGCTTCAACTAACTCTACTTAGCTCTCCGATTGCACGATCGAAGGTTCGTAGGATATACCACATACAGGTGAGAGTCATCGTATCCCAAATAAAACACTATTAATGTATATTTTCAATTCAAATTAGATTATAGATATATCAAATTTTATTTATATCAATTCAAACTTTTTGATAATAAATATATATATAATAATATTAAGGCTTCACAATATCTCCTTATTAATTGTTCTATATACAAAACAAAAAGAAAAAAAATATTCAAGAATATATTATTATCTAAAATCACTATATAGTTCCTATTCTATATAAAAATAGATATTAAATTAATCATTAAATTCATTAATATCACCAAAATCGCTATAAGAATATAATATCTGACTAAGGCTTTTATACAAAATAAGATAAAAGAAGGAATAGTAATAGAAGAGGAAAAGGAGAAGAGAATAAAGAAGAAGTAATTAGGAAAATAAGAAAGGGCTTTGATTTCCTTACAATTTCTTGATTTTCATAATTTTCTTATTATATATAATATATATAATGAATGGGCACTATTCCCCAGCATTTGTTTTCATTTCTCTAAAATCGTATATATCCATTTTTGTAGAATAAAAAGTTATCCGCTAGAGCCTCTAGAGGCCTAGTCGTCCTATATAGTCTTAGACTGAAGGTGGACGTAAATGAAATCAATCAATCAATCAATCAATCAATCGAAGTGTTGACGCTTGGTGATGAGGTCTTCACAGTAGCAGGGCTAGTTTCGTCATTGAACTTGGGAGCTATTGAGCCATTCACCGCGCCAACTCCAGACATTACTCTATTCAAACCGCATGCTATATTTTCTCCCGGCTTAATCGCTACTGAGACCAATGGTCAGCCCATTCAAGCAATAGCCCGCTGTGGTAGCGAAGACGAATCTGCTGTTGACATACCTACCTTTACTACTCTGTCACCGGGTAAGCTCCCAGTCTCCTCCCAAAACTCTCTTGCGACAATCACAGCACGCCAGGATATTGCGACTCTTACCCTCGCTGGTTGTGGTACTGCACCTGGTGGTTTGATCACGTGTGCTCAAACTACATTCAGCAACTGCGTTAGTTCAGCGGGTGAACAGACATGCAATGGGCAGATTCCTTTGCCTACTTCCACTACTAATGAAGTTCAATCGTTCCTCCGGATTGTTCCGACCACCCTGCAAAGAGAAGGAGATATTATAACCACAAATCTGGTCTCAGGCTTGTTTCGCACGACTCTTCAAGCTCGCGCATCTCATACGACAGTGATTCCTAATGCTTCTCATGAGGACTTCAATAGTGATGATAAGTAGGTCTTAGCGACGAAGGTATTGAATACTGTGGTGTAAGGGAGGAGAAAATGGATGATGAAAATGCAATGGTAAGATAGCATTCCGAAGATTATAGTAAATTCGTTCGCAGAGATTTCTTACATAAGATTTCAGCAAGGAATGGGTTAGCATTTTGTTGTATTGTGTGGATTCACCTAGGATACTCAATGAATGCATTACTTTTTCGTTTGTATTTGTGCACTTCGAATTATAGTATCCCAATTTCATTCCCTAGACTATTCTCACCTTCCATGCCGGGAGTCTTCCAAGTGAAATTAAACGCAAGCCTTGTTACAAAGCAGTTCTGCACCTTGGTTATATGACAATGTGAGATCTCACTAGGTTTCCATGATGCACTTCTTACACTCTGCTCTGGAGCAAACCTTTGCGATCTTTTCAAGCAGTGCTTTTGTAACACTTCTACTGAACTAGGAGTAGAAGTTCTTGAATCACACCTGAATTTCTGATGTTTTTGATTCGTTGTACAGCAGTCCAAATTCACGTATATGTTTTGAGTGTGGCGGGAAGGTGTCGAAAATTGGTATCTCATTTAACAACACACTAATCATATCAAATCAATGCCCCCTCCCCCCAACGTACAGAATCCAAAAATTTATACAATCGCTATACTGTCGCCACCGTTCGCTATAAACAACCAAAAAATGCCTTCCGACCCCAGGATATATCCACATGCATGCTCACATCAATCAATCAATTCCATCCCACATGATCATTTACCATTATATCCCCTCCATTTTCCGCAATTAATACCCCTGTTCCCCTATCCTCATATCTCGTCGCATATCATCATAATCCCAGAACCCCCATACAAATCATACCCATAACTCCCAACAATCCAAGACCAGCACCATCTCTTGCCCCAGCTCCCAGTCCAGCTCCCGAAGAACTCTTTGGAGCAACAATAGAAGCAGTAGGACTACTACTTGACCAAGCAACACTCGACAACGAAGATAGAGGGGTAGCAGTTCCTGGCAACAAAGTTTTCGAGTTGGTTCCAATAGTGCCAGTTACATTTCCATTACTTGTCTCTACCAGTATTGGTGCAGATGTAATAATTGTACTTTTAGCCGAACTTGTCTTTGATACTGCTGCACTAGAACTCGAAACTGACGCGCTGGAGCTCGACGCAGTAGTCGCAACAACAGCATACGTGAGTAAAGCTGCAGAGTCTGTAGCAATTGAAATTGCTCGGAATTGTGACGTAGCCCTAGCGCCAGTAATGGTTGTTGATGCAATTTTGGTAGTGCCGGGAATCAATTCAGTCGCCTGACATGCCATTGATGCGGACCCGGACAATACGCAACCTAGAGTCATTGTTCTAAAAGGCTTTATTAGTTATTTATCCCAGCGTATAAAGGTTATATAACATACGTGGAGCCAGAAAATGTCATTGCATATTGAACAGTGGAAGGTCCTTGAGTTAACGTGTATGGCTGTTGAAAGTTACATGTTGAGGGATTTGAACCCGCTGGACATGCCATTAAATACGTTGTGGCAACATTTGCAGTCTTAAGATTCTATGTCAATAAAATTATACATCAAAAGCACTGAGAATAACATACTGAGCCAATCGTATATGCGACAACCGGATAATCACCCGCGAACAATGTTGTTGAAGATTGCGCTCCAACCCCTCGACTACCAACACAAAATACCAAAAAGATATACAAAAAATCAACTTGAGGAAACATATTTCAAATCTACATTAATCATACAGCTACTTTCAGCTGCAGATCTTTGTCAACGTAACTTCAATTGAAATGTGATTCTCGTGCATAATGTGGGAAGGAGATAAAAAGAAGTTATACAAAAATGGGAAGACATCTTTTGAGATAGATGTTGGTGTTTTGGGATGTAAGATTACAGGATTGAATGAATGGAAGGTAATAAGATCCTTCTGTGCCCATGGCGTTAATTATGTCCAAATATAGGGCTGCAGAAATGGGCGCTTACATAAATGAAACTTGGGGTTTGGTGGTAGGATGAAATGTATTTAAGAGCTGTGATTGGTGAAAAATGACCAACATAAGAAATTATTACATGAGGTAGGACAAGTCCCTACAATGACACTATTGTACCGCGCTTGTTTGTGGGACGATAAGAAATCAAAGAATGGCAACATTGCGTTCATGATACCTCATGACACCTCATGACTTTGAGCTTCATGGATGACATGATCAGATAACCATAATGCAAGTACCGTCGGCAGCTGAGGTCATAAGATTCATGAGTAAAGACTTGGCAGAATCAGTCCTTACAGTCGTGAATCGTGACATGCAACTCGTGAACCACTCTGTTCAGGAAAATGAATAATGAGAAATCAAAATTCTATCGGAGACGTCTAGCATGACGCTCTTCGCATGGCTGACATGATCACCAAGTTGCCAATTGATGACGAGAGATCAATTGTGAAAAGGAGTTCGAGTCCAGAACCATTGTAGGTACGGATGATGTACATTCCTGATTCCTTCCCTGCTGAGCAGATGGGGATTATTCATATAAGAAGATCTTATAGATTGATAAAATGGGTCACTAGCGCAGTAGATCTCGCCCAGTGTCATATCAGTCAATGCTGACTAAATGAGCGACGATGATTATACGAGTTTACACTAAAATTGATAGGAAAGCATTGCCGATAACTTAGTGCAATGGACTGGCCCGTCATTTTGATGTATCAAATTTGCATGGTAATGTTATGTGACGTAACATCTATATGTCTTTCGAACATACTGTAAAGTCTCGGTACTGACTCGCAATGTTGGGAAGAGCCTGGTAAAGTAGTTTATTTGAGTCAGCTGGCATCACTGGCAAAGTTAAATGGCAATTATCAGATATCTCATTTCCCCCTTCATCTGAAAGAAGTATCATTGATAGCGGTGAAAATGTCCGTGTGAAATCCAGGCACGGATTCTTGGGATGGAAGTGTATCTTCATGCAAGAAGGAGGGCTATGCAGTAGGTTTTGTAAGACTCCCTTTAGAACCTCGCCCATAAATAAGATGGCAAATGTCCATCTGCACTAGAAATCCACAGATACCACTTGTCTCTTGGATGAGGACATTTCGGCATAAAGACTGCGGGTAAACTAATAAGTAGCTTCGAGGGAAAACTTATGCCTAAAGTTTTGACTTCGAACTACCATCAGTGAAAAGTTCCCGCGCTTGGACTACTGATCCCCAAACCCTTCTGGCACGTCCCAGTCCGTGAGCACTTACACTATAATTATGCTGAATTGCAATCCAATAGCTGGCACTTGCTAGCCTCTTCGGGTCAACAAACTCCATATGGTGCAAACCAAGTTGGGAACTGATCAATGTCAAGCTTGATCGTCATACACAAGCTCTAAGTTGACAGGCCAGTTCAAAACACGAAAACCTTCAGCAACATTTTGCTTGAAGGGATATCCCAAGTTCAGATTTTACTGCAAGAACTAATAGTGAGAGTGCTTAGAAGTCTGTGTCCACATTTGACAGATTTTTAGAACCGTTCACTAGTATTGTGTTGCCCAAAGACTATACCAGACCTAGTGACTGGGGAAATACATGATATTTACCAAAATTGTTTGTATTGAATTGAAGGAAGATCAGATAAATGATTCGTCTTAACAAAACGCTCGTCAGAATATAAGATGCGTGTTGGCGGCCAGATCATCGAAAAGTATTGTTATAAAGTGGAATGAGCGATTACTTGCAGAAAGTCCCACACCGCCGGTACCAACCGTTTCCGATTATCCAGCAGTAGTGGAAAGTGTTAGACCAGGGATGGTTGACATGAAGGTCTTGACAAATATCCACTTCTTCCCGTTCTCGACCTGTTTCTTCAGATCTCAATCTTTACTGGTATCAAAGGGGTGGGCTTTACTACTAGTATTGCACATTTCCGTCAGCTTCATCCTAGCTTTTATTATCAGCCAAACTTTGTGAGCAGGTCGGTTCAATCTATCGGTCCCATCTTGAAACTCCCCACTACCCTCACTTATTGTGATCCCTACCACCAAGCAGACTGCACACCCTTCAAGTCCACTCGGGATATATGCCGACGATTGAAATATTCGTGATCTCCAAATTAAGTTTTCCTCGGCAAGCTGTCCCCTTCATGCATTACTACAGCGGTCAACATTGTTTGTTGAAGCTTCAAGCATTGTGGCTGTATACTTTACATACCTACCAAGTATTCGGAGAAATGGCAACCAATCATGTCTTGCCAAACTGAAAATTTTCCCACCTAAGACTTCCTCTTTCATATATTCTAAACCTCACCGACCTCAAGATATCCAGTAAGAGTATTGTGTGGGGCAATACTGCCTCGGGAGCGACAATAAGTCTCCAAGAGGCTCCCACACGACACTGCTGATCTGAACACTATAGCTTTCGGCAGATCAGATCCACCTTCATATCCGCGCTAAGGCTGTCTAGACACCTCTCGTTCCTGAAGACGAATGGTGGCTTGATTCACGCTTGTTGTATCTTCAATCCAATGTGTGGTGGATTAAGTTCTCTATTCGCAAAAGAAACCAGCACCGATTTAGACTGGTGGTAGATTTAAAGTGTAAATCGATTGGTCTAATGTCGTCGGGAACTTGCTGAGACCGATGCCATGATATTCCCAAGTCCGATGATCCTCAGTCTCATACTGAATGTCGTTTTAGTAATCTCATGATAGCATCAAAAGAGGCATCGGGGATTTATGCATGATTCGACGTTGATTTGGTTCAATTATTAGTGTTCCCCTCCGCTGCAATTTCATTTTGAAACTACCATATTGACTTGCCATTTCTCTTCGTATTCCCAATTCAGAATTCAATAGCCGACTTTGAGTCTATATCTCTGCAAATTTTACATAATATGTCACCCACCCAAAGAAGATCACCACCTAATGACCCCGGCAGTCTTATGGGATTTCATTTTCCCTTGAAGATCTGGAGAGAGATTGGCGGCCGTGAATTATACCTAGCACGGAATC